TAAAGATAAGATAACAAATTAACATTGCTAACAACGTAATTGGTCAGATAACAAATTTAATGAAATAGCTTTTGATTAAAATATATTATGTTATGTTTACTTGCGTGTTATAATACATGACATACTTATTTCAAATTAGATAAATTACGTCTGAGAATATGGACAAGTTTTAATACTCATTGATAATTAGCGTTGCGAATAATATCCCATAATACATCAGTAAAGGAAACTTTAGATGCCCCTTGTGGGATGCAACCCGTTCTACGTCTACGTAGTATAAGGGCTTATACTCAAATACGAGAGAACTTTGTTATTTAAATAATAATTAAAACCATGAATTATTTAGAAATTTGTTTAATTTGTATTTTAATTATTAAATTTATTAAATTGTTTATATCTATTTATAAATTAATATTATATATATAGTTAATATATAATAATAATAATAATAATAATATAATTAAATTTATGTATAAATTTAACAACAGATCTTTCAATAATTATTTTATATAAAATATTATATAAATAATAATATTATTTAATTAATATTTATTATATATAATATTAATTTATATTATTATTTATTATATCTAATAAATATTAATAAATTATAAATTAAATAATAAAATAGTATAACGAGAGCATGAACTGAATGTATAATGAAAATAACTTCGTTTGGAAACTTGGTTTAACACGTTCCGAAATAATTTATGATAATAATTATTTATTTATGGGAAAGTTTACTTTAAACACTATGAATATTTCTGTTTTTATTTGACAGGTACCATCATTTAATGGGTCATCCTATTTACGTTATCCAGGATTAGGTGATACTTCACTATCATGGTTAGAATTATCTGTGACCTTAAAGCCTACGGCTCCCGATGGTGTAATCATTTACAATGGGCACCATAGCGATGCTTCCGGTGATTTCATCGCACTTTATCTTTCCTCGGGATACGTACACTTCACCTTTGATTTAGGAACTGGTGCAGCTACTTTAAGGTCTATTTACATTTACATACACATATATATATATATATATAAACAAACAAACAAACAAAAAAATAAATAATAATAATTATAAATGTAATTTTATATAAAGGGGGAGCAGAAAGTAATATCGTTTTATATTTTAATCAAAAATCAATTGATTTGTATCGAAGCGACATCAAAAAAAAAAAAAAAAAAAAAAAANTCTCTCTCTCTCTCTCTGTCTCTCTCCCTCTCTTTCTGTACTTTTTAGCTTAATATACATATAATTTTTTTTATATATCCATATATATATATATATATATATATATATATATATATATATATATATTTTTTATTTTTATTTTTAATTAATGCACTTTGACAAAAAAAATTCTCAAATAAAAAAAGGAATAAAAAAATAAAAAAATAAATGAAAAAAGGGAAAAAATTCCATCGAGCCAGTACAAGTGCATACACACACGTACACATACACATACATATACACATACATGTACACACCTCTATGAAATTTAATATTTATTCGTACAAGTAGTAATGAGAAAGACAGACTGAAAGAGTACGTGTGTGTATGGGTGTTTGAGAAAGAGAGTGAGAGAGAGAGAGAAAGAGAGAGCTGAATTGTACGATCGTTAATGACAGAATGCAGTGGAATGCTCTCGGATATTATAGAAATGTTGGTCCTTTATAATTCTCGGTTGGGTGCTTGCGTAATCATAATTCACAACGCTCATGACGTTACACACTCCAGACGGTGCACACTATTAATTCAATATGTTTGAGTACACGCATATGTAGGTATATATGTGTACGTATTAAATTACATATGCATATGCGTTAACATTTATACATGTCCTATTTAAAATATATCTCACACAAATAGATATTTTTTTTTACATTATTTTATTATATTCAATATAAAAAAAAATAAAAAACATTTGTTATAGTTGTTGCTGTTGTTATTGTTGTTTTTGTTGTTGTTGTTGCTAATCAAAGTTTGAAAATGTTAACGAGGTTAATAGGTTAATTATTTTATTTAAAATATCTTTTTTCTTTTTTTTTTCTTCTTTATTAAGATGGTTTATTTTAATTAACCCGTTTGAGTACTGGTGGAACGCATATATGCGTCTAATGAAAGTAGTAGTAGGCGTGGTCTAAGAGTGCACATATGCACTTATATAAATTTTTTCTATTCTCCCTTGTATGCTGATTTGTTTTTTTTTTTCCTTTTGTTTTGTTGAAATAACAAATTAAATAATCATTTATAATATACGGTGTTAATAAAGAGATTGAAACTTTGTTTAAAATATTTTTTTTTGTAACGTGATAAGAGTTTTACGTAAACACCCTGTATATATTTCAATTAAATAATAAACAAAATATTTAAAAAATATATTTTTATATTATTTATATATTATTAATTATTGTGATATTCTTAAACAATTATTTGAGTATCATCATTCTTGATTTAATAAAAAATAATACAGTGTCAGAGTTATCTACAAAGTTATGGTTCTTTTTTTATTATTTTGTTTTTTTATACAGAATGATTCGATTCTATAAGTGTTTTACATGGGACACCCTGTATATATTTAAAACACATTTTTTAAAAATTATTTTCATATTCATGGACAATTATTTGAGTATCATCATTCATGATTTGATAAAAAAATAATACAGTGTCGAATTATGTACAAAGTTACAGTTTTTTTTCTTTTTTCTTTATATACAGAATGATTCGATTCTATGAGTGTTTTACATGGGACACCCTGTATATATTTAAAACATTTTTTAAAAATTATTTTCATATTCATGGACAATTATTTGAGTATCATCATTTTGGATTCGATAAAGAATAATACAGTGTCAGAGTTATCTACAAAGTTACGGTTCTTTTTTCTTTTTTTTCTTTTTATACAGAATGATTCGATTCTATGAGTGTTTTACATGGGACACCCTGTATATATTTAAAACATATTTTTTAAAAATTATTTTCATATTCATGGACAATTATTTCAGTATCATCATTTTTGATTCGATAAAGAATAATACAGTGTCAGAGTTATCTACAAAGTTACGGTTCTTTTTTTTTTATTTTATTTTTTTTATACAGAATGATTCTATTCTATTCGTTTACAGATTATTTTACTTGGAATTTGTTTGTTTCTTTTTTTTTTTTTTACGGAAACATGAATAGTTTCAACGATACATATATCCGCGTGGATTGATTCAAATTGAAAAACTCTTTCTGTATATGCGTACGTAACACCCACACCACTCTACATGAACGCATAAACACTACATACATACATACCATACATACACGTCTATATATTCCTCTTTTTGTGTAGTGTATCGAGAAAATTTTGGGGAGAGGGAAAAAAGCATCAAGAATGAAATTCCGTTTGAAACGAAAATTCATTGCACTTCGTTAAAGTACGAGAGTAAAAATCCCCACTTGTTATTTATTCGATTACAAACAAAAAGAATAAAAAAAAAAAAGAACCAGAAAAGATAAACCAAAAAAAAAAAAAAATTCCAATCATAAAATAAGAAAAAAAAGGTTCTAAATTAAATGCAAAAAATTATTAACAGAAAAAGTATAATAAAAAAAAAAGGTTTAAACAACATGATAGATTATATACGGTGTGAAAATAATTAAATAAGAAAAAATGAGAACGTTGATTTTAGGAATAGCATGAATAAAATGAATTTTGACCCAACACGAATATTTGGAATCATTTGATGATTCCTTCTTCCTGTTGGTTCGTTTATTACATCGATAATTAGCCGAAGGTGCTTGACGTCACGATCGTCCCCATCGTTTCCAAATTGCAGGGCTTATTTTCGAGGATTACATTCCGCGAGCCCTTATTCGTCGGTGGACCAGGAAACACGAGCGGTTTGGAGAGGTTACCAGTTAGAACAGGATTCAAGGGTTGCATCCGACATTTGGAAGCGAACGAGCACCGTTACCGTTTTCCCTTAGCACCCCAAGGGGATGCAGCTAATGGTTTCGACGTTGGTAAGGAAAATAAAATTTAAACCAAAAAAAAAAAAAAAAAAAAAAAAAAAAAATAAAAACACAGAAAACAATCCCCAATTTAATTCGTACGACTTTTTCTTTTTCATTCTTTAGTAATTTCATTTCATGAGTGTGGTGTTCTTTTTATTATCGTCGGTCAAACAAATGTTCAAATGTTACTTTGTAAATTGTTTATAATTAATTATATTTATATGGTTAATTGAAAAATGTACAATCGGAGTTAAAAATATTTGAAAATTTCATATTGTTCGATATTTAAAGTTTTATTGCATGGTAGGGCAATTTTTATTCTATTACCAAACTACAAAAAAAATAATAAAATTAAATATAATAAATAATATTAATTAAATATTAATAAATAAAATTAATGTTATAATTGTTAGTTTGAATATCCATTGGGAATTAAAAATAAAAAAAAATTAATGAAAATTTGAGAAAAAGTAACTAGCTAGTAATAAATATAATAAAATCGCTATACTACATACTACACTACGTGTATATATATATATATGTATCGTAGGGGATTTTAATTACGAAAAGCTGAAGGGACGTTTAATTAAATCACTCGAATTACTCGGCCCTTTTTAGAGGAATGCACGGCAGATAGATGCAGCAAAGTGCCATGCGCCCATGGTGGAAAATGTCTGACAACCGGTGGTGACACTGCAGTATGTCTCTGTCCTCTTGGGTATACCGGTGATCTCTGTGAAACCAGAGTCGACCTTCAGGTAAATACATATTGCATTATTGATAATTTACCTTCCATTAAATATACCTTTTTCTTTTCTTTTTATCTGTGTGTGTGTGTGTATATATGTCTTTCAAATGAAACTATCTCTAAATGCATAAAAGCTATTCAATTATTGTTCATCAAAATTTATTTCAATTTTATCTGTTCAGTCCCATTAATTCATTTATCTGTTCAGTCTCATTATTTCATTTACCTGTTCAGTTTCATTATTTCATTTACCTGTTCAATTTCATAATTTCAGTTTGATCTGCTCAGTTTCATAATTTCAGTTTGATCTGTTCAGTCTCATTATTTCATTTTGTATTTGTTCAGTTTATTCATTTATCTGTAATTTCGTTATCTGTTCATATTCAGTTATTTCATTTGTCTGTTCAATATATATATTTTTTTTAAATATTTTTAATTATTTGTCAAGTTAATTTGACCTTACAAATGGTAACCCTGACGTAACACTGACGCAACCCATATAAGGGTCGTATAATTACGAAAATGTTAATCAGTGGTTTAAATATTATTTCATTGAATGATTATAAAATATTAAATATTAAAATATACACTCAATTCGATATCTATCATTTATTTCACGTTCTATTATGTTTTTAATTAATAAAAAAATTTTTTTAAATAATATAATACCTATATAATTAATATATAATAATTAAATATAATTAATAATATTATATCACATGATTATAAAATATTAAATATTAAAATATACACTCAATTCGATATCTATCATTTATTTCATGTTCTATTATGTTTTTAATTAATAAAAAAAATTTTTTTAAATAATATAATACCTATATAATTAATATATAATAATTATATATAATTAATAATATTATATTAAATACTTAAAAAATATTCAACACACACACATTGCAATATAAACTGAACTCAACATCTCTCATTGATTTTATATTATATTTTATTATATATATATATATTATTATTATTATTTAATAAYAAAATATTTGTAATAATAGAATACTTATATAACAAGTATTGAGAAGGAGAGAGAGAGAGAAAGAGGGAAAAATCTTCATTATCAAAAAAGTTTGTGGTACATGCGTGTCGGAGAAATAAACGAGAAAAGAAAGAGGGAGGGGATAGTCTAGTAACTTTTTCAGGAATGTTTTCTAATGGAATTCTTCGTCTAAACGAAAAAATTTCAAGTCTTTTTATTTTCTAACTATCAGTGTGTAAGTTTAAAACGCATATATACAACTATATATATATATATATATATAT